ACAGACAGACAGACAGACAGACAGACAGACAGACAGACAGACACGTACGTGACATTTTGCAATGTTAACAAACGCTGATGGAAAGCCTCGTGCTGTTCTATTGATTGTGTGTGAATGGCTTTGGATGCGGGCGCATAATGTCATTAAGCAGGGGATCGTATGGATGGCAGGAACGTACGAGAGGGAATCAATGATGAGGAAAGCAATGTTAGCAAAGTGGGTTTCGTGAAATGCCACTTGATGGATGTTTACGGCATGTTAGCAACATATTGTATTGGACCGGACTCGGTCAGTCTCCAAATTTAATTTCAAAACTTAGATTATTCTTGTTTTGTTGTTGATTTCATCAAGACTGTGGATGTTTTTCCAGTATCGTCAGCCTCGCGACATAACATTCTGTAAATAAAGTTCTCTTCAAAGCAGAAAGAAATATATTTGCAGTTGAATTACATTTATTGAATGGAAAACATAACAAAGTTCCCTGAAAAGAAGTGCAGAGAAAATAAAGTTTTCTAGATACACTGGTGCCTTCTTCCAAGTTGATTGAAAGTGCTCTTTTTTGAATGACAATCAAGTGTTGCAGCAATCGATGAACTCTTACACGCGTGTCGTAGAGTATGTCTGTATGGAGACCCTTTTTGATGGAAAAGATGGGGTTGTGACCGATGATGAGCTGTGTGTGAGGACAGAAGGGGAGGATTTCTCCATTGGTTCACCATGTTGCCTCGAAGAGTCCGTTTTTTACATGAGCAGCCAAAAGAAACGGTCTCGCGTCATAGATCTCTACCTCTCAATCGATTGGGCAAACACAAGCCTTGATCTGCCTTGGCAGATGCCTGGAGGTAATTTGGCTGTAATTTGAGGATCTAGTTCTTTGTCACCATGGCAACCAATACCATAAGCAACAGCGATCTGACATGGACTGGGATCGCTGGATAAGAACCCTCCAAAATATCCCTCAATGCTTCCTTTAGATGTGAGTTTTGGTAAAATAGGAACAATAAAAAAGCTATTGGTTGTGGTTGGTTGTGTTTACCGCAATATCAGTTATTTTCTTTGTACTTCATCCAGTAACTTGGAGTTCCTCTTTACCTTTTTTAGCGAAGGAGCAGGGGCCGTGGTAGTATGTGTCAATTAAGTGGCTCTTCCTCTCAGTGTGTGGAGAGACCCCCGGACATGGACAAGAAGGTAAGAACGTCCTCGGACCCTCTCCATGCCTCCCAACAATGAGACATGCTCACACTGTGCAGGGACAGGCAGGCTCGCAGTGAGAGCCTTCTTCTAAAACATGGCTCCATAATCAGCATTTCTTTGGAGACATTCATCTTATATGATGGAAGAAAATTATATTTACAAGCAATGTGAGAAGGCATGTAATTGGTGAAAGTGTTTAAGGCCCCGTATGCAGAGGAGATGCATATTTAACCCACAACCCCAAACAATGTCGAACCAGGGGTCTGACTTACAGTAAATTGAAATATTTTGACTGGAACAAATAATTGAATATTTTCCTGAGTTGTTATTGGTTTAAGCTCACCATCTTTACAGATGGGAGTTTAAAAAAATGAAATGGTACTCTGTGGACCCCGGTATTTGCATTGGCTTTTGCTGCAGCCCAGCTACACCCAGCCGTGATCTCAGCCTCTGATGAATGCTGCATCGGTGTGACTTAATCATCCACAGCTGTTAGACCGACACGAAATGACAGGCCGCGAAAAATCTGAATTTACAAAAGGTGTCAAGTCATCTGTTCCAACTTTTCTTTTGTTCGTTGTGTGCACCAGTGCCTTTTCCAACAGAGGACAGGCTTGGGGTGGTATTTTTCTCAAATTGCGTCCTTCTCACTAAAAAAAGGACCGTTTTACCAATTCCGAACTTTTGTATTAGGTATAATCATTTTATATTAGATTTGAGCAGTGAGATGGAGATATTCAACCCAGTGTAATGTACCCAATGAATTTGCATGACTGTCCCTTCACAGTGTAGCTGGTTAAGAGAGTTCTGCTCAGTGTCATTGATTTTTCTCCCAACAACGAGCCCCGCTTGGACGTCCCAATGACAATCCATCCATCCTTCCTCCCTCCTAAAGTAGCAATGGCTGGGAAGATTTCACAGAATCAAGATATCCAAGCTGATGCGTCAAGTTTATCGTGCACTCTTAGCAACCAGGAACGTTTTTTCCCCAGTTCTACTCCCAACGTATCCCTGATATTTGGGATATTCATGCTGTCGTTCACAATGCAGCAACGCATGCTAAGCGTGTTCATAATCCCAATTCAAATTTAGAATGGGGATGCTTTAAATCTGATTCAACGTGCCCGTATCAAGAATGTGAAGTGACTGAATCATCGCAAATAAAAGCTGGTATTGCAACCTTCTAGTTAAAATTCAAAAATCAACCAGTGGCCAAATATAATTCAAGCAAATTCTTTACAGATCTTCCACACCAGAAAAGTCATTTTTTTAAATTATAAATCAAATATTCTTTACTAGTATATAGATAATGAAAAAATATTTGTATTCTTTTGCTTATGTACCATGAGATTTAGTGTGGTTGCAAAGGGGGGATAAATGTGTCAATTTCTGAAAACTTTCAGGAAAACATCCAAGCTCTTATTGGAAAGAAGAATTTTGGAAATTTGGACTTTTAGAGAATAATTTAAAAATAAAACTTTTATCCAACGTTCATATTTTATTGTTCAATAAAAGAATAAAGTTCTACTCACAAATGGATCAAGTTAAAAATGCCATTTAAAAAATTTGTATTAGAAATGTTTGCATGCATGTCATACATATATGACACGGTAAATACAGCTAAATTACCCCCAAATTTATTCACATTATTGCCTTTCCGTTAACCTTGAATATTCCGAAGGGATGATGACGAAGGAAGGAAGGAAGAATGGATACAATTTTAAAAGTGCCTTTTTTTAAATTATTTTCTAACAAACAATAGTTATATTTCTGCAGAATGAGATATCCATTTTCCGAGGAGGGTTTGAGGTTTTGTTGATGCTGAGCCAGAAAGACTTTGCTACTTTATTTTTCTTTGATGGAAAAGCATGAAACAAAAGAATTGATGGTTCATTATGTTCATTCATAAAGTAATTAGTGTAATCCAAATCAAACATTTTTCATGTAACATTTTAGCTGGCTACTTTTCCCATTTTGTCAAACTGTGGGTGTGTGTGTGTGCGTGAAGATTTGCCCAAATATTATGCAGCTCCTCAGCCCTGGCTTTTGTTAATACCACCTTATAGTTTGAGTCTTTCACTGACACACACACATTGCATACTCTCCAGCCACATTCCAGGGTCAGAGATCAATAGGTGTGTGTGTGTGTGTGTGTGTGTGTGTGTGTGTGTGTGTGTGTGTGTGTGTGTGTGTGTGTGTGTGTGTGTGTGTGTGTGTGTGTGTGTGTGTGTCCACACATGCGCTCATACATTATGTGCTTTGGTTTTATACCCACCTCGTGTTAGACCCTGCAGTCAAACTAGAGCAGGGGCTTAAAGATCCCCACACTGGCCACTTAGAAAAGGTCTGCAAGAAACACACACACACTCCATACATACACAATGGCTGGTCAGACCTCCTGCAGGAAACTGCACAGGGGATTTCCTGCTAAACCTGGGCGTTTTATTTTACCCCTTACTTCCTGTTGGTGTGTTTCCCCTCGTCTTCCATCAGCCCTCCTCCCCTTCATGTCTGCACCCTCTCATCCTCCCCCTGAGTGACGCATTTACGATGCATTCTACATCAAAAGGCGATGCTTTTTTTTTTTTTTTTCATTGTAGTGGCTCCTTATTTCTTACATAACCAATCTAAATTGAATGAAATATTATCGAGGTACATTTCAGCAAGAAAAGGTAGCAGTTTGGCAGATTGATTTAATGTAATGATTAGAAAATTAACCACCCATGGCACAAACTACTATATTTAGTACTTGTTTATTTTCTGCCATTTATCGAGCATAAAAGCAAAGCCTTTTTTTAAAATATGCGTTTTATTTAATGCTCTGATGTATATTTTCTTTTAAACTAAAGTCCAATTCGCTGTGAACATAATGTATTGCATTTTAGTCCAAAATTTAAATCAATCAAAGTTTAAATCCAAAATTCTAAGACACTAACGAAATGGGCACGTTTTTTTTGGGGGGGTAGGACTTGATGAGGAACAGTACTTGCCTCCTTTTTGAAAAGTGAAGTATCCCGGGAATCCAGCGTGGATGAACAGGCATGGCCCTCGTGCACTGCCACCGCTCATATTTACCCCACACAGTCTGAAAGGGCACTCGGATGTCAAATGATCGGGCCGCCAGCGGACAGCGACAGAGAAAAAGAGGGGAGAGGACACTCTGAAAGGCTTTGTCTCTGCCTGTATAATCAATTGACCTGATTGATAAGGGTGTGTCCGGGTTACATTGTGTGTGTGTTATGTTTCCCACGCCCAGCGCCTCGGGTCCTTGTGTGTGTGTGTGTGTGTGTTATCCGACCCTCCTCGCTCAGCCTCTGTCAATCAACACCTACCTCTGGAATGTTAATGAAAAACAACAAGAGAATCCTGAAGATTTTTACCTTCTCTGTCGCTCGCTCACGCTCCTGTTTTCTCTCCTGTGTGTTTGTCACCGTTTCACAGACTGACTTGATTAAGATAATCACCCGGGTGGTGGACATACACCGGACTTGTCGAGTAGCGCAAACTCATGCTGGGAGGCCAAGCGTGACTTAGACTCTCGGAAATCTATTTTATACATATATTCTTCTAGTGGGTTTATGATACATCAGGCGGCATCTGATGAGGTGATTTCAACAACTTCAGAGCTTTAAATCAAACTCTATGGAAAGCGCTCCAGGATGTACGGACGCAGACTGAACGCAACATTCGTGTCCCAAAGCTCAGACTCTTGGCGTTGGGTTACATTTCCGTTGTTAACTGCTACTCGTAGAGGAAGTCTGGCTTAACTGTCACCAGCCGTCGTGGTGGGGGAGCAGGGTGGAGGGTGGAGGGTGGAGGGAGGTGGGGGTTTCAGAGTTGTCGTGACGCTGGGCGTCACAAGCATGTCGAGTCCCATGTCGTCTCTCAGGATTGCTGCATATTGTGTGTGTGTGTGTGTACATGCGGCTGTGCAGAGAGGTGTCGGGGTGCGGGGATGCGCACGGGTACCCAGTTGCCACCTCAGGGGTGCGACATGAGCGGAGTGGGGGGGGCTTGTGTGTGATAGCAAAGGGTGTAAATTGAGCCGTGATGGTCCGAGAAGGAGGATATGATTGGATGCAACGATGAGACCTTGTGAAAGGCAAGAGGCACTTAGGCGCACTCTCCTCTAAACTGCAGCACGCCGGATTCCTGCTCCTCCGGCCCGTTCTTTATCACTCCTCCATCACTCTCTTTGTGTTTGTGGATCTCTTAGCTTTCATCTCAGACTGAGCCTTTGAAATATAATGCTCTCTCTTTCTATCAGACACACACACACACACACACACACACAGAGACACACTTTTCTTCTTTTGTGCTTATTTCCTAAGCTTATCCTGATAACTCATTCCCACTGGCAGATGTGATCCCGTGTGTGTCTGTATTCTGTCCTCCACATGCTCCTCAAAATGCAGAGGGCTGTGAAAGAAAGGGTTGTAGGAGGTCCGTCTTTTATTTCTCTCCTTTTTTCCGAATTGCTTCTCAAGCAGCCTCACCCATGGGTTTCTTTTTTTTTTCTTCTTCTTTTTATCCTCCTTCCTCAGAAACACAAGGAGAGGGACAGGCACAAACCCAAACACAAGAAGATCTCCATGGACATGTCCCCCTCCCTTGTCCTTCCTAACATCTTGGTCCCGGACAAGGTGAGGGCCGCTCCTCTTTGTGTCGGTGAATTTTCACCGAGCTAGTTAAATATTAAAGGAGGGACGGGTGTTTTTTCTTTTCTTTACCCACCTTGATTTACCTTTTGTTGCTCGTCTTCTATATCGCTTAGACATCCTGTCCTCCCGCTGACCTTTCTCCCCTTTTCGGTCCTCCCTCTTCGCAGCGGCTTCTCATGGTTCCTGTCCTCCCCCTTGCCTTCCAACCATAATGTTTCTTTATTCTCCCCCGCCCCCCTCCTCTCACTCCCCTTCCCTTCTTCCGCCTCCAGACCTACAACAGCGGCAACTCAGGGGGAGGAGTCACCTCCCTGCCGGCGTCCTCGCAGAAGCGGCTGGACGATGGCACCGCCCGCTTCACCACGGCCAACTTCCAAGAGGTGTCCTCCGCCCTCGGCGGTGGCCCCAAAGACGGCTCGCCGGCCGACGCCGGCAAGGCGGCCTCCGAGGTGAAGAACAAGAAGAGCGGCGGCGTGGGTCACGTGGCGGGACAGAGGGGCGGCCGCAAGTCCCTCACCTCCTCAGGGAAACCCCTCCCTTCTGCCGTGGTCACCATGGCAACCTCCTCCACATCTGCCTCTGCCTCCACCGGGCCTTTCCATCAAGGTGAATTAATGGCAGCAAATGGTCGTGTGTTAAGTTTCCCACCACTGTTTTTATAAAGACTGTGAATACAACGTCAAATTGTCTGCCGTTGCTGTCCCGCCCCCCTGCACCACCAAACACCAAAAAACAAAATGCAGCACCATTGTAACTGCAGCAATGCTATCAAAATACGTGTGTGATTCGTGTTTTGCATGGATGTGTGTGCGCACGTTGTGTCATTGGCAGGATTTTGACCAGACACCCGGCCGTGTTGTGTAGCCCTGATAACAGTGTTTGGTCTTGACCGTCCTCTGGCTCCTGTAATCGGGGGCCCCGTCCGTGGGGGAAAATAAGGCCCAGAAACACACCGGCAGAAGGAAGACGTGGGAGGCGGGGGAGGGAGGGAGAGGGGGGGGGTCAGGACCTGAAAGGAGTCGGAGCTCAAACTGACCTCCTGTGTTTTCTACTATCGGGAACCTTGAAGCCCCTCTGCGTGCGTGCGTGCGTGCGTGCGTGCGCGCGTGTGCGTGTGTGTGTGTGTGTGTGTGTGTGCGTGTGCTCGCACTTCCTCTGACACGAGGGAGGACTACATGAGATGCAGAGCAGAAGAACTCCTCTTTGGTTCCGTTGTTGCTGCTCCCCACGTGATGATGGAGAGGAGTCGCATGGAAACCTTCTCCCAACTGTAGCGTCCGTTGGGCTCTGTGTTGTTTCTCTCCCGCCACTAATCATCTTCTCTCCCCCAATGTTTTTCTCTCCTCCAGGCCTCCTGTTGACCAGTGCCAGCAAGACGCCCTCTGCTCCGTCCTCCTCAGACTTCCTAAGTTTCTCGGATTCAGCGTTGCGTTCGGGGGGCGGCACCACCTTCTCCTCGCCGCCGTCTTTCAGCAGCTGCCTGGTGAAGCCGTGCTCGGAGGGCGGCGCCTCGGAGGGAACCACGGCACTCTTTGGCTCCATGATGTCTACTAACACGGCCTCCGCAGGTACTAGATGCTTATTTAGGTCAGAGATCACGTGGGTTCAGTTTAAGTGCGTTTATGTAATTTGATCAGTTGTTCTTTCCCTATTCATGGTCACATTTTTGGTTCCCACTATTACGGTGGCGCCACATTTTTCAAGCAAAGCTCCTTTAGTGCAATAAGTAGATTAATGAATAACGAGTGGTTGAAATCCATGGTTGCGGGCCCTATTTTACAACAGAACTGATGACGCAGGCTGTGCTTTCCCCTCTTGGATGACCAGCAGTCTGCAGAAAAGCACAAGAGGCCGCAGGCTTCACGCCCAATCTTTCACTTCTGCTTCTCTTGTCTTTTTCAGTGGGCGGGAAGCTGTACGAGAACTCCCACAGTCACACGGCCACCGAGACGACCAGCCTCGGGGGGCCCGCCGGCTACAAGCGGCCACAACCCTCCAGCTCGCTGCCGGGGATCGGAGGAGCCGCGGCGGGAGGAGGAGGGGACGATGGGGTGAAGAAGAAGAAGAAGGGCAACTGGCGCAACAGATTTGGACCTTGCTTCACCACGGACGTGAAAGCTTCTGAGCCGGCTCCCTCCCTGACCATCCCCTCCTCCTCGACGGCTAACACCACCGCCCCCACCTCCTCCTCCTCCACCGCCTCCACATCCTCCTCTTCGTCGTCGACGCTCACAGGCCGGCCGGGCATGGTGTCCAGCAGTGGGTTGGGGTTGGGAGCAGGAGGAGAGAGGGGGCTCGGGGTCATGGGTGTCACCGGTGGGATTCAGAACCTCAGGAATGGGAGTCTGCAGAGCAGCAGCTCCACAGCGGGCGGGCCAGGTGAGGAAACCAGTGGCGCACACGAAACACAACAGTAACGATGAGCTCTTGTCTCACAGATCCGTCTCTCAGTCAGTGTCGGTTCTGCGAAATGGACCTGGGTTATGATCTTGTTTTTGGCAGCATGAATAGGGAAATGATTTCGTTAAAGTCGCATCTGCCGATTGTGTCCTGTTGTGGCCCGTTGTGTCTTCCGGTGCGTCATCAGAATGACTGCAAGGGGAGGTGAAACCCACGTGACGTGGCCACAGCAGTAACGTTCCCACCTCAAACCGAGGGGGGGGGGGGTTGATGCACCTTTTGTTATCGGTTCCTTGTGTGTGGAAGCCAGCGTGCGGGTCTCCGTGCTGTTTGCTCACACACGCGGAAGTGGTGTGTTTCTTTCATCGTGTTCTGTTGCTTGGCAACTGTCTTTATGCTTTGGAGTTCCCCTCTTCTGATGGAAATGGGTCCCCTCAGCCCACACAGCCCGCATCTCTCCTTTCTTCCACAATTGCCGTTTGTTTCTCTCGGCTGCTGTCTATTACCTGCGTTCTGCTCCTTCCGTCAATCTTTGTCTCACCTGTTGATGTTTGTGCGCTGGAGGGTGTCCCCTAATCAATGTGCATATCGTGTATATGCACACGCGTAAATGCTTATTAGTTCCAAATTGATTCTCTGATCAAGGTCTTATCCATCACGGATTTGTGGGATCAGCTGATCCAATTTCAATCACAAATACGTTCCCGTTCTTTAAAATATTCAGCAATATTGGCCTGAGGGTTTCTTTTGCCGAGCATGTTGTATTTTTATTTCATGTTGGAAAATTATTTGTCCTCAACCTTGAAATCCTTTAATAGATATAAGACAGACCACTCTGTGCCGGGCGGACTGTAGCGTCCGTGGAAGACATGAATCAGTGGTAATGCTGTTTTTTTTTTCCTCCTAGCCGTAACAAATGTGGTTGCTAAGAAGAAGTGCAACAATACACTGATGGCGATCTAAACATTCATCTTATAGCTTGTGTCTGCTTAGAGGAGATAAAGTTATTGTATAGGTCCATCCTGCCTTCATGCCAGCCATTTTATAAATGTGTGTGTGTGTGTACTGTGAGGAAACATTTGACATCAGGCTTTATTTAAATGGTGACATTATTGCAAAGCTTCAGATTAATCAAGTCCCATCGACCCATAAATATTCTCCAGCGGCGCCTTCACAGGTGTCTTTAGTGGACCCCTTTAAATGCACAGCTGATCCTGAGTTAGTGAGCTCACTTATTGGGGCTTTCCCCGTTTCGGGATACTTCCGGTGTATTCCGCTCCCGGTGCTTGGGGCGTGCGCGTGCCCCTACAGCTGTGGCGGCATGTCCGATTACATCTGGCGGTCACGTATGGCTGTGCATTGTGTGTGCGCCTGAGAACCGTGTGTTCTTCTTCATACTGTAAATATTTAGCTGAAGGTTAACGCAGGGCAGTGATGGGGAGGTTTTCAGCGTTTAACCAGCCCCCTCCCATCCTGCCGGCTGACACCGGCATGCTGATGGATAGATAGTTAGCCTGATAGATATGTGTGCAGGGTGGGGAGAGGCAGGGGGTTAGATCTTGGTTAGGTTAATGTTTGACTGCAGGGGGGGGGGGGGAGGGTCACCGATCGCACTCCCCTCGTGTGTCTCTTTTTGTGGCGGAGAAAACCTTTTGCATGAACGTGAATTTGTTTGCGCCCGCGTGGGGGGGGGGGTGTGTGTGTGTGTGTGTGTGAGAGAGAATAAGAGAGACGCTTATCGCTCGTTATTTGTATATTTATTTGCTCATTCATATTATGTTGTATTTTCTTCATCGTTTTTTAGTCAAATTATCATTATCAGCAAATTGGTCTCACTGCAAAATAAGCGAGGGGAAGTTGTGAAAACCAGCTAATATTAAGTGAGAAGGATTTCACTTAAAAAAAAAAATTTAAAAAAAACATTGTGACTGACATTTTCAAAATAGTACTTTTGACAGTTTTTGTAATTATTGTTTAAACATTTTTATTTATATATATATATATATATATATAATTTACCTGGGATTTATTCATCAAAACAAGACTAAACAGTGTCTGAAAATCATCTCACACACACACACACACAGTCGTTTTGCAAAAAACTTTAAACAACACATCTGGCAATTTGAGGGAAACCGTTTAAAAGTGGCAGTGATTTCGTGGACATTACAAGATGTGTCTTCTTCCTGGATAAATTGCTCTAGGTTAGTAAATGGGAATAACACATTTTTCGTTGAGGACACAGCCGCTCAGTTTGCGTCTCAACTCTTCACAATAGAAGAAACTATTGAATTTGGCTGTTTGGCAAATCCACAAACACATGCATGATACTTGCACACAGACACACGCAGACACAATGTTGTCCACTTGGTCTTTAGATCGGTGTTAATCTCGCCTAAATGGACAACATAGATTTTGTGTGAAAATAATAGCAGCTTGAATTAATCAAGCCCGATATTTTTTTTAACCTGACAAAAGTTTTTGGCAAGAAGGGAAAAGCAACACGGAGACTATGTTCTCTGTGCTTTGGGTCATTATTGATCACACCGATACGGTTTGTGATTACCAGGATTGTGTTTGTGTCAACATTTTATTTTATTCTTCTCAAGGGAACTTTTAATTCTCATCAAATGATAATCAATTTAAATATTAATCTTCTGTAGTATTTGAAAATGTTCTCACCAGCAGGAACGGCAAAATTAGTAAATACATTTTCACAATAGCAGTTTAAAACTATAAAAAGCAGCCTGATTGTCAACACTGTTTTTTCGTCTGTTTATTTAATTAGTTTGAAGTAAATATTTACATCCGTTGGAGACATTTTTCCCAAAATTAAAAAGAAATGATTTAGGACAACGGTTCAAAGGAACATTTCCCCTTTTCTTCTTTCTCTAAAACGTCTAAATAAAAACTTTTTTTAATTCCCCCGTCCCTAAACACATGCGCTGTGATTTACAAACGGCGTTCAATCTTACGCATATCGAAAAACTTCAATAGTCCCACTTTATAAAATCAATGAAAACTCATTTATATTACTGGTACTGTTTTAGCCCCCCCGCCCACTGCTCCTCATTTCATCAATGAGCCAAACTCTGATAAAACGTCGGCTCGGCCTCCAATCCGGCTGCATGAAATCCTGCAGGAGCTCGTGCCTCAGAGTCACGGCTGCCCTGCTTTGCCTATCAATTTTTTTTTCTTCTGGTGCCTACTACAAAGCGTTATAAATAGTATGTAGGTCCATCCAGTGTTCCTATCTCTCCCTGCCTCCCTCCCTCACCCTCCACCCCCCCCCCCCCCCGGCACAAAGATCTCTTGTTCCCCGACTGAATGTGTGCTGCCCTGAGCCATTCAAGCTTTTGTGGGGCCGAGGGGCCCCGTCCCGTCCCCCCCCGCCCCTCCCCCTCCTCTGCCGGGGTCAAAGGGGGCAGGGGCAGGGCTTATCCCTGGTTCGTGGGCGAGCACAGGGGTGTGTGTGAGAGGGAGGGGGGAGAGAGAGAGAGAGAGAGAGCAAAGAGATAAGAGAATGCACATTAGCGTGTATTTTTTTTAATATATGATCAGGATTTTTTTATGAGTTGAATGAAATGTGTACTTTCTGAATTAGTACAAACAATACACATTGTCTTTATTTGTAAAAGCTTGATACGAAGTATTTGAGTTGTCAGATTTGTGTATTTATATATAGCTAAAGTTTATTATAATTGTTGGAGTTATTACAATTGCAAAGAAACCAAAATATCTCTCGCAAGCCCACATACTTAATTATGCGTTCCGCTTGTTGATTTTATCAATCATGCATTGATTCGGTCAGCAGATCTGTAATTTGTTCAAAATCCAGTTTCCAAATCTCAGTAAATGATTCGTCCTCCAGCCGTGTTTTAATTATTTATAGCCAACACGAACAAACCCAGGAACCTAAAACTGAAATGGCTGAAGGGAAATTAATTTCATTATTTACACCGATGTTTTTCATTCTCTAATAAATACTGGTATTTTCAAACCACTTTGCTCCAAATCCTTGTTTAATGGTATAAAACTCCCGTTGTCTCCGATGCCTCCTCAGGGGTTTTCTCTGGTGCGGACGGGTCATCGACGGGGGCCGGAGCTGTCGCCGCTGGCGGAGCCTGCTCGGAGTTGTCGCAGCAGCAGCAGACCACACCTTCACTAGCCCCTCCCCCCTCGCCATTCACTGCCACCGCACCCCTCAGCGGCACCGCCTCGGCACACGTGAGTCCCAACACTTCCAACTGTGCTAAAAACTCCTCATGCCCTCCGTACACACAAAGATGCATGCTCATTAAACACACTCCAACCCTCTTTCTTTCTCTCTCTTTCTTACACACACACACACACACACACACACACACTCTCAATCGCTCGCTCTCTCAACCTCCACATTTATCAATTTGTTCAGATCCCTCGTATCTCTGAGCTGAGGCGCAGATAAACTGTGGGAACACAAATAAAGCGAAGCACCCTAATTAAAGTCTTTCCGAACCAAATCTCTCAGCACTATTATGAATCCGTGGCTTGTTAATTGGGTGTGAATTGTTCGTGTCCTGGCCTTGTAGGATTGCATTTCCTCAGCAAGTTAATTGAGCTGCTGATATTATATGGTGCACCTGCGGAAGGGCTTACGTGTTTATACACAGCATCAAACACCTAAACATGTCATTGAAACATGTTGTACTCCCCTGCAGAATTTAGTTCAATTAAAAAATACATAAAATAAATGTTTAACATTCCCATTTGAACCTCAGTCATTGTAACAGTTAAGCAGTTTATTCTGATTGAAATACATTGCTTAGAGTGTTAATAGTTTTTTTTGTGTGTGGCCCATTGGCTTATATGCCAAAGTGAGGGCAGAGATTCTAATTAATCAGCTCCGCCCCCTCTAGTAATCGCTGTTCTATCTCCCAAAAAGAAAAAGAAAACTCATCTGTAATCACTGACCCCGGTGTCCGTCCTTTCAAAACCTCCCCAAAGACCATGCTCTGTCTCTGTCCACCCAGCTCCATTTTTCTCCTGTGTCCACTTACCACCTCTCTCTCTCTCTCTCTCTCTCTCTCCTTCTCTCTCACACACACACATGTTCTGTCCTTTCTCTTATTCTTCCTCCGTTGTCCTGTGATGTAATGACATCTGACAAGCACCATAGTAGGGATGGAGGGAGGGATTGTGGCAAGTGTGTGTGTGTGTGTGTGTGTCGGGGGGGGGTTGCACTGATGCCTTGAATTGGCTGGCTTGGCCTTCATTTTGCCCCGCTCCTCTCTACTTGGCACATGTTAAAGCGGACGAGAGGCTGGGGGAAGCGCAGGATATCACTCCGGTGTGCAGCATGTATAGTTTGTGTGTGTGTGTGTGTGCGAGGAATGGACAGAAAAGAGAGCAGCCAGAGTGAGAGAGACTTTGTTGCTGCTTTGTTAATTGTAATGCACGCATCTGGACACACCCTCCAGATCAAGTCTGCACAAATTATGCAACTAGAAGGACGCCGACAGACCTACACACGTGTGTGTGTGTGTGTGTGAGAGAGAGTGACAGACACCATTTGCTATTTCCAGTCGGCTATCTGGCCTACCGTTTTTGGCTATCAGCCCAGAGCAGTGAAAGGGAGAGAGACTTTGAATAAAAAATGAATGAAAATGAATGTTGATGGTAAAGGGGGCCGGGTTATGGCAGGGAAGGGGGGAGTGGCAGAATGGATGAGAGGTACAGGGTTTTACTTTGATTTTCATATCCGACCGTGATGGGGAATTTTTGGGATGTCTTCCAGATTTGTATTATCCTAGACATACCAATTTCATGAGTAGAAAGAATGGAGAAAAAAAGCACTCTAGTGTCTAAACACAAGTCTCAGTAACTGGATTGGATTTGCATCATAATCAATGGACAGACATTTTTGTTTATTTAGGTTATTGATTCTTCACGTGTGCGATTTTCTGCTCATTTGCAAAATAACTTTGTTTATAGTTGTTGTTGTTGTTGTTTTCTCAAATGGCTTAAAATGTACGGAACCGGACTATTTAAGCTCTTAAACTATGTCCCAATTTTGTTTCAACACAAAATAATAACTTCACTCAATAAAAAATCAATTAAATTGGTTGACCATCAAATTCCAAAACTCCAAATTAATTTTGGAAGAATTAATAAAGTTTTTTTTATTTTATTTTTTCATGTCACATACTATGGTTGCAGCCTCTTAATCAAAAGCCAGTCAGCCATTTTGTTGCTTTGGATGACGCGATTCCCCTCCTGATGCTCCGCCCTCTCTTTCTCTCCCGTCTCACCCCACCCTTCACTCAACGCTCCTTATTTGGGAAACGCCTTAATTGGATTAAACTCTGCATCAGGAACACTTTGTCAGCACGTCAGTGTGCTGTCGGCTGTCGACGCAGCCGGAGCCCCCGTGTGCATGTGTGTGTCGGTAACAGAATAATGAGCCGCGGATTCATAATATATACAGGTTCTATTTAGCAAATCCACATCAAACCTTTTTCTTTTTGTTGTTTAAATAAATTTCAATGACATGAAATGACGTGTGGATTTTTTTATCACGGCGGAATCAATAGTGAATATCAGATCATTTAAATTCACACACCGTTTATTCAAGAACTGAGGTTGAAATTAGATTCCGGCCCATTGAGTGTTTAACAACATGCTTTGCAAACCTCCCATAGAAGGTAATAGAAGCAACATGAAAAGTCACAGCTTATCCGCACTGTAGAAGAGGAAGGAACACCTGTTACTGTACAACCGGAGATTTAAATGTCTCAATAACAAACATTCCTCACTCAACAGAGACGATATTGCTTTGCTGCTTTTCAAGAATGACTGATTATTTTTGGAATAAATATGTGACGCTAAAACAATGGAAATAAAGTCAATTTTGATTTGAACATCCAAACTCTGGTCTCAGCCTGTGAGAACGTTATTATTATTATTTTTTTCTAATCTATTTCTATCATTATTTATATGAATTTGTGTTTTGCAACATTGAGCGTGGGAAATCTGTAAATGCTATTTCCCTGATTTTATTTAGATATTCTACACGCACATTCTATAATTGATTAATCATGAAAAATAATTTTCAGATAAATGCATATTAATAAATAAATAAAATAATCAATTGTTTTTAAATGAAATTAAAATTCATTTTAATTCCATATGCCTAATCCGCAATTTGATCAAAGCAGTTTAATTGCATATTGCCGCATATTTCTCACTCCTCCCTTGTTTCTTGTGAAATCATGGCCTTTCTTGGCTTCTTCTCTGTCTACAGGTGAGCGGTCTGCCGGCCTCCGTCTTCAACCTGGCCTCCTCCCACATGTTCGGCAACAGGCTGAATCCCAACTCTGCCATGGCGGCACTCATCGCCCAGTCCGAGGCCTCACCAGCAGGTACGGCCGTGTGTGTGTGTGTGTCTGTCTGTGTGTGCGTGTTTTTGTCAGCGAGAGAGGGAGATAATGGATAGGTCACGGCGCCCTCGGTCCAACAGAGAGGTCAAAGGTCAGCACTCAGAATATTTTCAAGCTCCTCCCACTCAGCTCCAATTACACGCCGGGATTGTTTCCCTCGGTCTTCAGTCCTCTGTGTTGAGCGGACAAATACAGCACCTGAGCGCGTGCACGCACACACGCATATATATTATCAAACTCTGCTCTGAGCTGGGGCCGATGTAAAAGAGGAGAACTGTGCGGAGGCAGCGGTGTGACTGGAGGAGGGCAGAAAGCCGGTAGCTGCCCTCCGATGGTTCCTCGTGTGCCCGGTGCAGAGGGGCGGATGAGGGAGGGAGACGTGGCTTCAGTAATCAGAGTAGCCGCTTCCTGATGCGAGACATCTGGTGGAAGAGAAGAAAGAGTAGAGACGGGAGAAGAGGAGAGAGAGTTGAGGGAGGAGGAGGAGGGAGGTAGGTAGTTCCTGCTGCCGGTCAGCAGTCATCAGAGCCAGATCCACCGTGACCCGCAGGTCAACTCACTAATCAGGCTGAATGACGGGGGGGTGAACGTGCGTGCACGGCGGATTGAGACTAGGCAGGCTCTCTGTGTGTCTACAGAAGGAAGCTTTGTGTAATTCCTGAAGAAATAAAGTCTCACTCCTCTTTAGAAACAACATCAGATACATGTGTTTAGTTTGATTTAGATGAAAAGCCGAGTTCTTAATTAATTATGTGGACTGCCACATAATGCGGTTGCATTGGCAGCTCAAGAAAAGCAACCAAACTATTTCCGGTGACTACAAGACGGTAAAAAGCGTCTCATTGAACCTCCCGCTGCCCTGCTCCCCCGGACTGACTGTGACGTCGCGTGCACACAGTCGCGTATACAGCACGTGTGCGCAGCTCCGCGAGCGGGAAGTCGTGTTTGTGCACTAGTAAGGGTCATGTGAGCACAAACGTGCAAGGTGTGCGTGTGTTTGTATGTATGCGTGGAGGCTGTTTGCTTTGGCAGCGCGTTTCTCTTTGCTTTTCGAGTGTCTGGAGGGGAGGTGCCAGGATGGAAGGCGTTAAGAGAGAAAGGACTTTGAGAAGAAGGGCGACGGAGGGACTAGAGCGGTGACCCAGTGAGGCTAAAAGCTGCCTTAAGTAAAGGGGAGTTTGTGCGAGTGTGTAAATGCAAAAGTTTGCGCAAGCTCGTGTGTGTGTGTGCGCGCATGTGTGATTCATTACTCTCACTGAGGGAAACTGAAAAGAAGCGTCTGGCCCGGGGCCCAGAGGGAGGAGGTAGAGACCCTCGGACAAGGCGCAGGGGGAAATGCACACGCAGTTTGAATGAAGGCTGCCGGGTGAAAGACGCGCAAAGTATTACAGTTCGTCAACACCGATTCAAAAGAATGAATGTTTTTCTCTTTTCGCTTTGTCAATCAGCACGGCATTTCTGTCGTCCCACTTAGTGTCCAATGCAGAGAAATCCCCCCCAAAAAACACCTACTATTGGGGACGAGGACAATGGTGGTAGTCCTCCGTTAGACCTCGACCTGCGTTACAAAGCTTGCACTATAAGCTATATATATATATATATATAGGATTCGGGAGCTGTAGTGCTTTGTGAATTGAATGTACTGACAACCCTCTATATATCAATTCCAGATATAAAGCATAAGGAAATCAATCGTATTATATTACATGTTACTGCTGCAGTCATCAGTTCAGAAGAACTTCTCATAGAATCCACAAAGCTCATAAAACTACACTCTATAATATGTTTGAGATGTTAAAAAGCCCCCCGGGGAGCACTGATTTAAAAAAAAAATGTCATTTGCAATTGTGCAAGAAGCGCCAACGAGCAGCGAATATTTATACGGCACAATTGAATGACCCGTTATCTGACAGCAATAGGGAGATAAATGAACAGCGTTTTACGGAGTGGAAGTTAACCAGGCCGCCGTCCTCCGTCCAGAATAAAACAGCGAGGAAGAGCTCGGCCTTCCTTCCTGTTGTTTAGGTGTTAAAAGAGAAGAAAGACCGCACAATGTTGTGGCTGCAGGTTGTTTTTACATATCAAGTGTTTTTAACTAAAGCTGCCTTCTCTTGGGTGTGGACATTTAAAATTGTGTGTGTGTGTGTAGATCAGGAGGTGGGAGACGGCGGCGTCGGATCTCAGGGCTTCTCCATAAGAGCTTCTCCCAAGACCACCCCGCGGTGAGTGTGCGCGCACGCACACACACACATACATACCCCCTGCTCCCCCACCCACCCATCCGTCCCCATTTACATTCCTCACTGCCCCCCACCCCCTTCAACCATCCCCCCTCTCTGCTTTTCCCTCCTCTGGCCCCTCGTCTACTCTCTCTTCCTCTCACTCCCCACACACACACACACACACACACACACACACACGCACAATCTCCCTTTCGCTCTCGCCCCTACAGGCAATTTTCGCTCTCTCTCCGCCAACGATAACTTGTGTTTTTGAGGGGGGTAACCATCCTTCAACTCCAGTTAGACCCTTTTTTCCCTTTAATCACTCATGGAAGGACAGTCTGATTTTCGGCATCGCCTTCATTTGGGAGTATTTCAATGGATCTCTCAGGACGGGAATATTGATGATACAAATCCATTTTTGCTTGTTTCCACTTCTTTGTGGGATGGATAGTTTCATTTGATGAGGTTGGTTCCAACACGCATAATTCTGGTTGTCTATTGTCTTACACTGCACCTGTAATATTTCCCCTCTTGTGTTTAAGAAACATAATTTGTGTTAAATTTAATTTAAAAAGAAAATATTGTAACAGAAGACTTATGGCGTCAAAGAGGATGACATTTTTAATACCTTACATAATGTGTTGTGGAACAATTAAGTGTCTTAATATGAACATCACTGCCATTTCACAGGAATTAGACTGTGACATTTACACTCAGAATGTGTGTATTTAGGTTTGCAGTCTGATTAAAAGGTGGAAAAATCTTGCCTTTACTTTCCATTTTTTCCCCTTTAGCCTCCACATAAAGCTCCTGGCGTCCCCTGTACTCGCTCCTGCTGTCCCTCATTTCCCCTCGTTCACACTCAACAGATTGTCTTGGTGCTCACACACACACACACAGATTTATCGCATCGAGACAGTCCACTTCCCTCTGTCTGTCTGTCTTTTTCTCTTGCATGTCCTATTTCTCTCCCTCTCTCGTCCTCACACGCACGGACAGAAAGCCTGGCCCCTTTTCATTACAGGCGACTGTAACAACAAATTGATGTAGTTTTATAGCCAGCAGTGTCTATGTTTGTCTGACGTTTATGTTGGGTCGTTAATCTCCCCATTGACCTCTCTATCTCTCCCTTTCTATCCTCCCTCTCTCTCTCATCATTCAGCTCTCCCATTGGCGGCCTGCAGATCCGCTATGACTCCTCGGGGTCGTTGCCGGGGCCGGGGCTTGGGTTGCTAGGGGCGGGGGGAGGCGGCGGGGAGGCGTTGCCCCCGGTGGCCACCAGCATCGAGCAGCTCCTGGAGAGGCAGTGGAACGAAGGGCAGAGCTTCCTGCTGCAGCAGGGAACGCAAGGAGATGGTGAGAGCACACACACACACACACACACAGGTATCATTCATTTGAGGTATTTTGATTGTAGAGTTGATGCATTGCCTCTAGACCGATGGCCTATTTGTAAAGCTCAACAACATTATTTTCAACAACAAAGTCAGCAAAACATGAGGCAAAAGAAAAAAAAACAAATATCATTCTTCTGGTACTTGTTGCACATTTCTGACCAAACCAGAGAAGTGTTGAGTTCTAATATCCAACTTATTTCCTCTTTCCTCACTTTGCTTTCTTTCTCACTTCTTATCTGATCCATCACGTCTTTACCTTCAGTCACTTCCTCAGTTTATGTGCTATTAGTGTAAGTGTAGGTGATCTGAAAGTCCTGTCAGGTTTCTAAAATGCTAAAAGGGGCAATGTAGTTGCTGGAGAGGTCGTCCTTCATCTCTCCAGGTTTACGTTGCTGTGTGGGCACATTGTCCAGCTCCTGTCCCTGCTCACCAAGTTGTCCTCGTCACTGAGCTTGCACAGGCCCCCGGGGTCCCTGTTCTGCAGCTGATCGTGACCTCTGACCCACCTCTGTCTCTGGTCACTGGTTATTTGAGTGTGGATGCTCAGCCGACGGTTTTCATGGTTCTGTCTTTTAATGGTTCTGCTTGCTCTCCAATACAAACCATTACATCTCAAATAAAGTTTGAAAAGCCTGCGACAGGAAATTTGAATGTGAATTTTGTCTCCCACAGAGAGACCGCAATAAAACCAGAGAAAACAAAACAACTTTACCCTCAAATATTCTGATCCATCTATTTGGTCCCCCTTCATGTCTCTCTCTCCGTCTCTTCAGTGGTGGGCATGTTGAAGTCCCTCCACCAGCTGCAGGAGGAGAACCGGAGGCTGGAGGAGCAGATTAAAACTCTGACCTTGAAGAAAGAGAGACTGCAGCTTCTCAGTGCTCAGCTATCGGTGCCTTTCACCTCAAGCATGATCTCCGGTACACAAACACACACACACACACACACCTGCACAGACACTGGAGCTGAAACAGTCAGTTAGTTCATTGAGCAAATGTGATCCTTTTTTTTTGTTTAATATTTGATCAAACACCCTACAAAATAAAATACATTTTATCCACCTCGGGTGACCTTTTTACTAAGTGATTAATGACTTGAACAATAATCAGCTGAATTTGTGTTGCAGATATGAAAGGAGGCCATTTGGGAGCCACTGACTCTTCTTTCTCAGTGGCTGCTCAGGTAAGAACAAACATCCATCAAACGTCACTTTGAATCCGTTTATATGAGCGCAAAGTCGAGCACTGCCATAAAAGACGAAGCCGTGACACGTCACTGATGCAACAACTGAAAAGTTAACCGAGCTTCGGTACAATGAGCATCAGAGATCCAAGTAAAAAATCCGTGAGAAGGTGTCACGCTTTCACACGTCATTACACGGCAAATGATTTGGAGCACAGCGATCAGTTCACATTGGCCATTAATCTCACGCCCTCGTCGATGGCGTTTCTCCCTCTCTCTCAGGACGGCGCGTCGTGTGGTGGCCACAGCAGCAGTGGCTCCACCTCGTCTCTCTCCACCCCTCCCTCAGTCTCCCAGAGCCCGCCGCAGCTGAACGGGGTTGCCGCCGCGGCAACCGGCCCCGGCCGGCTGGGCGGGGTGGCGGGGCTGATTGGTGCTCTGGGCGCAGGCAGCGCACTGGGCATGGCGGGAATCGTCGGGGCGCTGAACGGCGTGATCCAGACGCCGCCGGGCACCACGGGGGCGGCTGCGGGCGCCACGTTGCCCGTTAACAACGGGTACGTCCGGCGGTGGCTTCCATTGCAAAACATTGATTTAATAAACAAAAACTCATGAGAAGCAAATTAAACTCAACAACAGGCGCCAGTGATGCTAAATAGGGTTTCACGTTGATCACGGCATCGTTGCCCGCGGTGACGCGTCAGCGCCTCCCCCCACCCCTCCGTCAGCGCCGTTAACTGGAAACCAGTTTCTTTTGGGAGTTGAGCCGCTGTTAAAGTACTAACTAGGCCACACCCCTTCCCAACATCCGGCAGCACTGTGATGTCTGAATGTGAGCTTTATCGCGTCCTCTCTTTTTGTTTGTTTTTCCCTTTTTGATGGCGTGTCGGACTCTTGCAGCCCGGCGTCTAGTAAGAGCAGGTGAGCAGAGAGTCGGCCCATTCATTCTAAAACGCTTCCGGTTGAGCGGCCCGTCCGTGAGCCGCGCTACCTGCTACCGCGGTGCAATGTAATGTGCAGTGGGTTGAAGCGTATTGTGCTCACTGCGAGTTGTGTCTTTGTCTCGTCAGCGCCGCGCGGCTCGGCCTGCTGTCTGAGCAGCACAGACTCCTGCAGCAGCATCAGCTCCAGCAGCTGCTGTCCTCGCACCCGTCAGCGGTACGACACGCGCACACTCGTGCACGGGCAGGCTCACAACCAGTATCACACAGTCAAAGACACGCAACGACACTGAGCAACAATCTCCCTTTGGACAGTAGCCTAAAGCACCAGATTTAGTAACTCTTCTTTTCTTTTTTTTTCTCCCCCGCTCTCCCTTTCCTTCACTCTTTTTGTTTTCTATTCCTTTTCATACAACTCTCATTTCTCTGTTTTGCCTTCAACGTTCACTATATTTATTTCTCCTATATTTCCTCTGGCTTTATTCCGACTCTCCCCTTTCCCTTTTCTCTCTCTCTCTCTCTCTCTCTCTCTCTCTCTCTCTCTCTCTCTCTCTCTCTCTCTCTCTCTCTCTCTCTCTCTCTCTCTCTCTCTCTCTCTCTCTCTCTCTCCCACAGGAGCAGCAGCAGGTGTTTTTCTACCAACTGATGCAGCAGCAGCAGCAGGACCTCCAGCAGCTGCAATCCCTCTCCTCCTCTGCCCAGATTCCCTCCATCCCGCTCTCCTGCCCTCAGCTGCCCGTCGGCAACCTGCTGCCCAGCGCGCAGAGCCAGGGCCAAGGCACCATCACCGCCAACCCCTTCCTGGCGATGCAGCACGCACACGGTGACGCGCACGCCTCGGGGGCTCAGAAGGCGCGGCTGGCCGAGAAGGCCGTGGGCGTCGCGGGGCAAGAGAAGACATGACGGCAGAGGCCCTTCATGTCTCGGTTGTCGATGTTTTGTTTTTGTTTGTTTTGGGGTTTTTTTTGTGAATAAATATGCAGAGTCTTCAGGAGATCGGCCTGTTGGTCAACTTTGTGGTTCAGCGATGAAAACCAGTCACCAGCACTCAGTAGTGGACCTTGTCAGGTTTATTTTGTTATTAACTGATTTCAGGTTACAGTCTTAAGATTTTGTCTTGATTTGTACTATTTATGTCCATCCAATTTTAGATTTTATCTCTGATTTTTTTTTAGCTTTAGTGCAGCTTCAGGTTCTTATTGTCATATTTGGGATGATTTTCATTTCATATCACTGGTAGCGACTTAGCGTTTGATTAAATAAGCACATGGTGGGTCTGATCTCTTTCTCTCAACAGCTCAGCCTTTATCTTTACTGAGTTTCTCTTCATATTTTTTCTCTTTCAATCCCATCACATTTCTTTGTCATTTTGCTGTGTCATGTTTGAGGTTATTTTTGTGCATTATTTCCTCTGTTTTCCTTTTTTTCTCCCTATTTCCTCTCTGCTTCTCCATCCTCCACACTAGCAACCGTCTCGGTCTGGTCTCGCTGCCGTCTCACTCTCAGGGGCCTCAACTCACGAGCTGGCACACAGCAAACTAAAAACATAACGAGGAGGAAAAAAAATCACTGAAATACATGTGTGGGGGGAAAAAAGGAACTACAACAGCCCACCACAGGACTTTAACGGTAGCAGATGTATGTTTGACATCTGTCTCGCGGCGATCCCGAGGGGAATATTGGGTGAGAGGCTCGTGAAAACCTCCCACACGTTCTCGCCGTTGCTTCTGTCCTCCCGTCTTTCGCTGTTTTTGCGCAGAGCCGTTAAAGCGTCAGCGAGCCGAGGCTCACGTGGTCACCGCAGAAGCCTTGCTCATGACTGTCTTTCTCTGGGCCAGATACAGGCAGCTCACTCGGGAAAGTGAAATAAAAAAAATATAATAATGTTGAATGTTGACGATGGATGCGGCGATCCACACGGCACAGGCCCACAGAGAAGTATTATGCAGTTGGTTGTCAGCGTGTGGAAGCCGTAACGTTTCATCTTTCCTGATTGAGCCCCCTGCTGCACCTACCTCTCCAGCAGGACCAGCCTATCGGGACCTACAAGGCCGCTGAAAGAGCCCCGCGACCCCGACTGGCCAATCAGGGTCCAAACCCAAGTGCCTGAGGCCAGGGAGGGAGGGAGGGGGGGGGGGCAGGGCGGATTTGTTTCCTTTTACCTGTGTCCCTGTCACTCAGCCAGACTCTTCACAACGCTACTGGTTAATTAAGCTGCGTTGCTAAGGCAACAGATTACCAAGTCAGGCTGGACGTGCGGTGTCTTTAATAACGCCAGGAAATAATATTCTGCTGCTTTCTCTAATATCGAAGCAGACGATGTGTTGTGCTTTTTATTTATTAGGAGACTTTGTGTAACGGGCGTAAGATGATATATTTTAAAAGCCCGCTGGTGTTGCAACTGGACATCGTTTTGTACTACTGTGTAAAGTTATTTTTTGTATTTTTATTTTCCCTCGTACAGTCAAGTCTCTCTGTGAACCGTTTAATAACTTCTACTCCGTGTTTGTGTTTTTCAAAGCTAGAAGCTACTCGCTGATTGGGGTTGGGGGGGTCGGGGGGACGGGTGGGGGGGGTCGTTCAGTGGCACAGTTTTTACCTCGTTAAGTGTACATAAAGCTTTCTCATTGGCCGTTGTTGTACATAAGTGATTGTGATTAGCTGTGCTGGTGTGAAGGAAAGCCAATGAAGCCTCAATTTGTGTGTGTGGATTTTTAGGACCAGACATAAAAAGGTTTAAGTGACTGGACACACAAAGTATTAATTTATTTTTATATGTGCAGGGACATTGTGTTTCTTTTTTTAAGTTTTGCACCACATTCTTGATGAGAAGTAAATTTATACACTGCACCGTGTTGTGTGCACGTGTGATTTGTGCACACATTTGTTTGGATACGTTTTGTACAAGTGGAAAATAATGGGAGCGGGTGGGAATCTGACATTGTATTTCAAAACACCAAAATAAAGAAACACTATGAACAAATTAACAGAAGCCTGTCTTTGTATCAAGGAGATTATTAAAAATATACATGAAAAATGATGAAGTATAACTATTCTTTTGAAGTTTGAAAAGATTTTATTTCCTGCTGACTCATGAAATATTTTTATTTTTTAAATTCTATATTATATAGAAACCATTGTATTTTAAAAAGTAGTTTACATCATGTTTTTAAAGAAGATTGCCGGGAGATGGTGTCGATTCTTAGAGCAGTAACATCAATATAATAATATTTAGTGCATTTAAACATGCATATTTGCACATTATTTTTATCTTGCTTTTTTAAAATAGACTAAGGATGCACTGCAAATCAGCCAAATGTCTCTCCAGAGGTTTAAATAGCACCTGTAAAATTGTTTCAAAGTTAACAAAAAGAACATTCAAAACTCTCAAAGTACAGTTGACTTCCACCAATAGGTTACACCTTATTTTAAATATACAATCCATAACAAGAATATAACATTTTCTTCACTTCTGATCATATATAGATAATACAATTATTAAAATAAGTATGTTTTATTTAAAGTTAATTGACATGAATGTACAACAATGTAAATTGAGATGGTGAGATTTATTAATTATGTTGAATATCATGAAAGAGATGGAAGCAAGATGGAATTTATTCAGAAACGGGGCAGGAAAATGAATAACCATCAAGTGCCAAAATAGAAGCTGAACATCTTTAAATTTAAACAATGTGCTTCAACCCCCCCCCCCCAAAGCTGATGACTTCCAGCTGCCAAGAAACTGTGTGTGTGTGTGTGTGTGTGTGTGTGTGTGTGTGTGTGTGTGTGTGTTTAGAGGTGGGGGCACCATTCTGCTACATCTGCTTCTGCCCTGGTAATTAAAAGCTCACTTTCCTCCTGCACCCTTGCTCCCCCCAAAATACCCACCTCCCCCTTCAGGAGCCCCCCTCCCTCGTCTCACGCACACAAACACACGCACACACAGACGAATAATCTAACCTGCATTCAACAACACAACCCCCTTTCTCTTCTCTCAAGCACTTGCTCACTCACCCCTCCCACCACCAAACACCCCCCCCCTGCTCACTATCAGCCCTGTCAATCAAAGCCACGCTGTTTAAACAGCTCCTACCCCACCTCCACCACGACCCCCACCCAGGACCTTCTCTTTTATAAGCCTCCACCATCAGAGCTGTCTCCCCTCCCACCTCCCCCGGTAATAGCAGCACGCACGCGCACGCGCACAGGGCAGAGCTGCTGTGTCCATCATCGATCACACTTCCACAGAAAAGCTTCCCCGAGGGTGGGAGGCCTTACCAGCTGACGGAGGACCCCTGTGTGCTGCCCAACCAGGTGCCTGATCACAAAGTCAAAACACTGCTAAGCCCTGGTGTTAGCAGACAGGAGATCTCTTCCCCCCCCCCCACACACACACACTCACACACACACACACTGAGCTCTGGATGATTAGGCAAATGTAGGGGCAGATATCTGGAGCTGCTGTCACTGAGGAATGCTGCGCAGCAACATGGGTACCTGCTCGTGAGCGAGCGGGCCGTGCGCGTTGGTGGTATTCATCCTCCTGCTCGCAGGCTTTTCAATGGGTTCGCGTCTTTCAGAAGCAACAAAGCAGGAGGACAAAACTGCTGCCAGGAAAGCTTGAAGCAGAGAGGAAGCAAAGAGGATAAACCGTGATTTAATTCTAGCGTTTTTCATTTTTCCTGATTGTAATCCATAAATGAAAAAATGGCACAAATTTAAATGGTTTGTATGTAAACACTAAAAACAACATTTAAAAGTAAGGCACTACAATGCGTTTGTATAATTAAGATGCATCCCAAATTATAGACAACTTGAAAAAAAAACACACACACAAAGGTAAATAAATTATTTTTGAAAAAGAAAAAGTCGCTGTGAAAGGGACTCTACAGAAGACAACATCTTAAGGAAAATATTGTTCTAAAAAGCTTGAATTACTGTTTGAGTGCAGCACCATGCCCGACGATAACAACCCCAAAAAAAACATTGTCAAAGAGAAGCTGGTGTTTTGGAGATGCGTGATAATCAGAGCACATTCACTTTCAAATACTCAGTGTTTAGTGCCAATATAACTCATCGGCTCAGGCGTCACACACAGAATTAAAAGCAAACCATGAACACGTTAACCAAGTGCCACGAGTAAGTCCTGCACAGGTTTTGGCATATGTTTGGTAATTCAGTGAAATGATTAAATTAGCCTCAAAGAGGACAGCAAAGAGCAATAAACCCGCTCCCGTGTTATAAACCATTAGCAGGAGGAGGCAGCCGCTGATGTGTACAGTAATAATGCAGTGTAAATCATCAGGGAGGGGGCTGCCATTACAAGAGCCCTAACCCTGTACAGGAACCTGCAGTCAGCTGCCAGGGGCCCCGATCCGGGACCGAGTGGAACCAGATCCGGCGACCAGAGGTGTTTAGGGCCGGGGCAGAAGGAAGAGGAGTATGAGGAGGAGGAAGGGGGCAAAGTGTGTGGAAGGAACAGCTGAGGAGATTCCCAGGGTAAGTGTGGATGGGTGAGTGTGTGTGTGTGTGTGTGTGTGTGTGTGTGTGTGTGTGTGTGTGTGGCTGCCCCCCACAGGTCTCTCTCCTGTGGCATAATGGTAGCGAGGAGAAGCGGCAGGCCTCAGCCTCATCCCTCTTCAGTCTCAGATAACTCATATTATTCTGCTCCGCCCCCCCCCCACCCCCAGCCTGAACACACACACACACACACGCACACACACACATTCCTCACATTATCCTCTCTCTGTCTGCCTCAGTTTAGTGACCCTTGGAGCTTCTTGGTCCACAAGCAATTATAAACACAAAAAATACAAATTACTTAACTGCAACTACAATTCATTTTTCAAAACCGGCCGTGTTGTTTAAGTAGCTCCAAATGTATCTCCTCTGCACAATATGTGCAACAAAACCCCTTCTGCATATGTGAAGTCAATGCAGAGGAAAAGCTCTCCATAAGGAGTGTTTGAGTCATACTTTACCAGACGAGCAATTTAATTTAGACGTTTTACAATAATCAATGACACTAATAACACCCTACAATACACACTATACCGTTTAGCTGAGGTTGTCCTGCATAATTGCAGCTCAGTAACAAATGGTAAAAATATCGTATAATTGCAGGAAAAACTGCAAACAAATACAACGTTATGTAACATATTTGAATCCATTACTTTTGCAAAAAACACCACATATAAACTTGTAAACATATAAACGTTACCAACAATATTTAATGGCTAAACGACGCTTGACAGATAAATACACATTTTAAAAAATCCCCCAAATACATATCGGTATTTTATGTTTTTTTTTATTTTTTAGTTAATTTCACGTATATTTTAGAAAAATTCAAACGTTTTTTTAAAGGCTTGCAAGACGCCTTCAAGGAAAAAAAAATAAAAGGCGGCAAAAGTAATGAAATGTGTGTAAGCCAGTGTTACATGTGCCCCGGACTCGCAGGAGACGTTTCAGTCCGCGGTGCGTCTTCCCGGCGTAAAGCCGCCTTGCTCCGGGGACTCAGCGGCTCATGGTCCGCCGGCCGGCCGCGCGCAGCGAAGCGCGGGGCGGCCGGCGAGCCGATCCCGCCCCGCTGTCTGCGGCTCCCACCGCCGGCGAGAAGAAAGGAGCTCAACAACAAAACCAAAAAAAAAACGAGACCCCGCAGACCCCACGGGGAGCATAACTGCGCCGAGAGCGTATAAATTGTCAACGTCGCTGGGAGGGGATTTGAATAAGTCACCGTGTGTTTTCTGCTATTCCCCTTTGAAAGGGGAAATGCAGCTCTGCGGCGGAGAGTCTCTGCGACGTTATAAAGGAATGTTTTGAATGGCGTGTCAGTTCACAATTGTATTTTTGTGCCCTCCTACAGTCAACCGCTGGTATTATATAGTATTTTATAATAGTCATAAATTTACCCTTTGGTTTTCGGTAACATTTTTTTTTTACTCCAGTTGATTCATTGGCCACTACATTGCTATAATATGAATATATTTCCATTTGATTAGGTGGTTTTGCTGTGATGTCTTTGTCTTGGTAAAATGCACAGCCTCCTATTTGTAATGGCGACCTCCGGTGTGCTGTTTTGAAGGCCATCGACCAAAGCAGCCAACTGCAAGGAAGCCACATGACCCACAGAAATGCACTAAATTATGTATAAATTCAATTACTCATCGAGAAACCCGTTTTCGTTGTGATATTCGACATATTGAGTCTTTGGCTTCTCTGCCATGTTGTTTTAAAAACATCTATAGGCTATAACATGTCCCTAGTGTGGTGCAAATAGGACAAAAAAAGATCAATTTAGAGACCAACAGGGATGTTCCAAGTACCCACAGAGACCTGTTAAAAGAATACAGCAAACATTCATGATCCACCCACAACCGACCTAAAGACACACACACACACACACACACACACACACACACACACACACACACACACACACACACACTACTTATAAATGCTATCTATTTTACCCAAAGTTCACGTTCCACCTGGACAAGGAGGAATAACCCTATATTGTATTCCCATACATTTCCTGTATTTACCTTCACTGTGAATAGGCCCGGGGTGAAAAATGAAACACCATTACAAGGTGGTGCTGGCAGAGATAAATGCAATCTTGTGGGGTTATAATGAATGTGACAGGATATAGATCCTGAGATGAGACCTGGTTTGATCATCAGGTAAAAATAGATCAGTCACTGGCAGATCATTACTGATAATTACTCTAAAATGATTGGCTATGTGAGAGGTCTATCTTATTAAATAATTCTGCTCCTGAGCGATGGTGAGTGGAGGAAATTTCATGCGTGTGTTTCCATGTAGGAACTCTAAGTTAAGTCATAGGTTTCATGAATAGGCCTACTTTTTTACACATCAGATTTCCGCTGATTTTGTTGGTTTCAGCTCAAAAAGCTTCGTGCATGAGAAACGAGAAACCTTAAATCCTCTGATATTCACCCTCTGATCAACCAATATATGT